TGTGGGGAAAAAAAAAAAAAGGAAAAAAAAAATTATCGTCGTATATTCGAATCCTTTTTCCATTGACACGAGGTAAACGAGGCAATTGTCGTGGAAACTTTGGCGTCGCGACGATAAAAGGGAAATTTGGCGGATGGTTTTTACGTCGAAACGTCGACCTCCCCCTCCTTTTTTACGGTATACCGCTCTTTCCTTTTTTTTTTTTATTTTTTTCTTTTTTTCTTTTTTTTTTTTACGGCGACCCATATTTGACGGACAATCGAATAAAAAGTTTTCCAGCTGTTGAAACGGTGAACAGAGGGGGGTGCTCTTTTATGCAAACAAACTGAAACGGATCGAGTCTTTCTGTCGCGACGAAATAACCGAAAAAAAGAGGTTGATCGAATCGCATAACGTTTCCAATTGTATTCGCGATCTTAACATTTTCGCGGAAGAAAACGATTGGTGAGAGGAGAGATTGCTCCTGCAAGCTGTGGCGGAGAAGGTGTGCGCGGGTGGCAGCAGCAGGTGTGTGAGCAAAACGAGAAACGAGCCCGTTAAGCGAATTAACGTTCTCCGTGGTCCTCGAACAACTTCTATCCGGTGGTGTACTATCCGACTTGGTGGATGATCCCGACCCATTCGTTTCATCCATCCAAACTTTTCCCTTTACCGCGTCGCGATTTTACCTCTCTCTCTCTCTCTCTCTCCCTCTCTCTCTCTCTCCCCTTTGATCTTTTTTGGGCGCAGAGATTTCGACGACTCGTCCCCCCCCCCTCAGAATTGCGGAGACGCGTCGCGTTAATTCCCCCCTTTTCGAAAATCCGGAATATCTCCGAACGTACGTACGTACGTATTCCGCTTTTACGCATCGTTCGAAAGATAATCTTTAATCCCCCTGGCTGGCAAGTTGGCGATTATCCCCCCTGTCCCTTTTTCTTTCGAGGCCGCATTATTCAAGCTCGTCAGCAAAGTTTCTCGGATAATTAGGTTCCCGAGGGTGCGGGAATCTTTGCAAAAGTACGACTAGCATACGCTAGCATGCGTTGAAATACGCTGTTTTCGTAGCAACTTGTCGCGCGAACAATGGAAACTGAAACTCGTGCCGTGAAACTGGGAATCTTGCACTCTTTCACGGATCGTTCGTTAGAATCGCAGTTATCTGGTTCCTGAATTTGAAACGGGGGAGGAGAGGGGGAGAGAAAGAAAGGGAAAAAGAAAGAAAGGAAGAGAGAGAGAGAGAGAGAGAGAGAGAGAGAGAGAGAGAAAAGAAAAAGCGAGTAAAGTCGGGTAAAGAGGAATACGGAGTAATTTGCGAGTCGCAGGCCGAATACGAATGGCAACGGACAATTCCATTTGTCGCGATGAGAAAATCAAGAGGCGTGAAAGCAACGGTATACAAATCGGTATATATGCATATCTCGCCTTTGATGGTTAGGTTTATTTGCATATTCGGCGGGCTATCGACCACTTCTAAATCGATATATTCAAACGCATCTGACACGCGTCGAGTAACCGGAGGAAAATAACGGGTGCGGGCCACGCACGGGTAATCCGACGAAACGTACGAATCTCTCGTTACGCCATACGAATCGGTCGCGATTACGTATGGCGAAGCGAAGGTTATCGGTTGGTGTTTCGCTACCTTAATTGCGTGCAGCGTCAGCGGATAATTGATGAAGTAACGCGATTACCCCTATGGTCTGATAATTCTGCGGATTGTTAGGAAACCGAGCATGGTGCAACGTTGATAATCGATCGCGCGTACAATCTGTTCGTTCCACCGCACGTGGCAGCGACGGAATAACGAAGCTATTTGTTAAGCTATCGAAATTGTTCCCTTGTCCTTTCGTAACCACATTTGCGGCCCCCATTCTCTCGGTTGCCCAACGAATTTTCCTTCCTAACGGAAAAGAAAAGAGGAAAGACAAAAGTAACGGGAGGGAGGGAGGAAGGGGGGAAAATGCTTTTTCCTTCTCTTAGCCTCCCCTTTTATTATCCTTTTCAACCCTCTATGCTTTTCCTCCCGAGTTTCCTCCCGTTCCTGGCAAACTTTGCGACAAAGCGAATAAATCCAAATACAAAGGAATTCTATTCAACGCGAATTAACCCGCATCTTTTTTCGATAAACCGACCAACCCTGTTAACAAGACGTGTATGACAACTCACCTCTAAAAAACGAATCAACGAGCACGGAGAGGAAGAGCGCGTGTTTTTTAAATCGGATAAAACACAACCCTTTCTCTTACGACTAATTTAAGTTGCGAGAAAAGCGACTATAAAAATTGCACCGCTTCGCGGATAACCGAGTTACGATCGATTTTTCGACGCGAAAAACCGCGAACTGTGACCTGTGGAGTCATCTTTCGACGAGAGGCCGCGATTGATCGTTTCGAGAACGTAGACCGACCGATGCGAACACGAACGAAAAGGAATGGAAGATCGCTGAGAAATCATCTTTTGAAAATGGAAAAATTCTATTTTAATCGACGCGAATCAACAGATAAAATATCATTCTCTTCTTTCGATTTGAAATTGTTCACGATTAAAAACTAAATTTATTTCGATGAACGATTACGATTGCTCTCATCATATTTCCAATGATTGATAATGAAGAAAGAAAATAATTGATCGTGATAACGAATTTAAATTGAAATTATCGTTAATTCTCGAGTTTAACGTGTCTCGATCGTACAAGTCAACGCTGATTGAACGATATATTTTCACGCGCATCTTCAACAAGATAGTTCTCTCCGTTACCGACTCGAGATAACCCAAAAACATTCGTAAAGGTAAACAACTACTATCGCGGCATATCGTACAACATCGTTTAATATCTCTTTATAATTTATTTTTGATCAGCGACTAAAATAGATGCACCTAATGAAAAATTCATATGCATAAATTAAATTATATAATAGGTACGATAGGAAGGAATATGCGAAGAAATACAGCTCAAGGAAATTAGCGTATATTTTCCTCTAATCCATCGTATCTCTATCAGCTCGATAGATAATCGAATCGAGATTCAATTTAACAATTTGACAAAATCTCTCGAAAGAACGAAAAAAAAAAAAAATCGTTCAAACGCTCGATCGATCGAGTTTCTGTCGTTGATACAACTTTTCCAAAATCGGTACAGGGATACGTTTCTCGGCCAGATTTTTCGTTCCAGGAAGTTCGGAAGATAATCGAGAATTTTCAGACAGCGAGTCTTGTCCGATGGGCGGTAAAAGTTGATGAGAAACCAATTTCGACAAAGGTATGGCTTTCTCCTCTAGATTCTCCGTGCCTGGCAACGGCAACGAGATCATTTCCGTCTCTTTCGTTATTATATCTCGATCAGCGAAATCGATTCCAGACGTTCCACCAGTCGCTCGAAGCGTTCCAGGAGCCGCTAAAGTTCCAACGATAAACAACGTGACGATCTGTAACTAGTCGAAAACACCCTGAATCCCTCTCACGTCCCTCGATCATCGGTTATATCGGCGTGGCCAAAACGCGCATCACTGACAGAAACCAACGCGCATTCGTGTTTCGAATAGTGAACGAAAAGCGCGTCAGAATTTTTTTTTTTTTTGCAGCCATCGATTGTGCAATACAGAGCGAAAAGTTAACAGCGTCTCGCGTTTTGGCCGCGTTTTTTTCGTTGCCTTCTTACCTCGATCATGTTCGCTCGAATAACCACGCTCGACTGTTCTCCTATCCACGACCGTACTTTTATACGTATGTAAATATACACATATGTAGATATAGGATATACGTGGCGACACCGGTCCCGCAACGTGTAAAATCCACGTTTTATTTTGATGAGCCAAGCGGCTACGACACTCGCTCGAGGCGATATCCTCGTCGTCCAATTATTCTCTTTTTTTCCATTCGTACCTGTTTCCATATCCCCCCAGAATTACTTATTCTCTTCCACGTCTCCCCGCGAGAATTCGACCGCTCGTTCGCATGAAAATTTGCGCTGTTCGAGAAGTTTCTGCGTATGAAAAGTCGAAGAAAGATACATACAACGCGCACATACACGATAATAAGAATCGAAATTTATACTCGTTCCTGGACGAGGAGGTATCTTCGGTATCGAAATGAAAATATATGATCTGCACTATTGAAACAATAAGTGCGAATGCGTGAATGTTTTGCGAGGATAATTTTCCACATTATAAATATTATTTCGTCGAGGGGAAATAAATGATTGGAGAAGGCGCGTGATCTCGGCGCGTTATTTATCTAGATCGAGAAACTAAATCAAGGAAACGGAGAGTTGGGGACGGGGATATTCTTCGAAATTCTGAAAAACGAAGAAAAGCGAGACGAGAAATCTTGATTTTGTTTGCCCTTCTTCCTCCTCTTCCTCCTCTCCCTCCTTCTCAGCCTTTCTTTATCGTTTCAACACGCCTACGCACGAACGTAAGGAATAATCGAATCTACACGCCTACGCCTACCGCCGCTTGTTCCGTCAAACCTTCTCCTCTCTTTCCACCTTTTTAGGGTACAACGACATTTCCTTCGCGACGTGACGGTTGTGTATCTTACGGACGCGTATCTTAACGCGGCGTAATAGGCGTAGCGTGCGGTCATCCGGAAAAAGTGACGTCATTTTATCCCTGTTCCAACCAATTAGCTCGCTATTATAGGCGAGGCTTAGGTTGCACACGCTTGCTCGAGTCGTAAAACTCGGACACGCGAAGCGGGGAAAAAGTGACGTCACGTATCCATGTGTCCATGTACCTTGACATTTCTCGCGTCTCCTCTTACCTCCAACTTCACCGCTCCGTCTCGTTGTTCAACGAGGAGGATCG